CCGCCCTGAACCGAGAGCGGTGTGTGTGTGTGTGTGCGGTTTTTAGGCGCGCGCCCCGCTGTAACCGGGCAGCATGGCCGGACACGGGAGCGCGCAGCCCGTTTCTCCACCTCAGCGCGCGACACCCCGCCGCAGGTGAGCGTGTGGCGCGCGCATCAGACTCTTCCGCGCGGTCTTAATGCCGTCTGACAATACTGTAAAAGTGGGTCATACTCATCAGAAAAACAATTATGTGATGTTTGACATTTCTGTTTTTAAAACATGAAAGCACAGATCTATTTTTATATTCTTATTTGAGACAAATAAACTGCAAGACTGTATCAGAATTAATTAATCGTCCACCAGAGGGCAGACTAATGCTGGTCACACTTTTACTTGTATAATTGCTTACACGCTAAAATTAAAATAACTCAGCCCAGATGTGCACAACGCACTACACACACTTCAGACTCGTTACACTCCAGAAATATCTGGCATTTTGAGCCTTGTTTTTAACCAGTCGTTAAAACTGCATTTATTTAAAACATAAAGATTACTGAAGTAGGTTTTACAAGAAAATACTTCATTCTTCAATTCTTTGTAATTAACTGTGAAATGTACTACCAATTTTTGTGGAAAATTTATTTTACAATGTTACATGTACTTACCATGATAATAACAGTAAATTATGCATAACTAGCCCTCAACCAAACCCTAACCTTATAGTAAATACATGTAGTTTATTAATATTATTAATTACACTGTAACAATAAAGTGTAACCACAATGACAACACGTTAAAAATGGCAATGCTCAAGTTTATTTCTTTATTTCTTTGTTTTGCATTTCCATTTGTTCCTGCATAGTACATTATACATGAAAATGCACCATAAAGGTTTTAGTTAAATGAGGTAACCTGATGTCTCAACATTTGTTTAATTAGTCCTAACTCACTTTCACTTACTAATACTAGTTTAATAAGCTCTAACACACACTTCATTAATCAAACACAGTCACAGAATGAGAACGTTTATTTCTGCTCATCTAATGCTAATCAAAAACAAAACGTCATCATTTAAATGACATCTCTCTTTTTTGAAAGTTTCCCAGTGACAAAGATCAGAATTAAAAGATGAAAAAAGTGTGAGATGATTAATCATTTTTAACTATAAACACACCCATGGTTTTAGAATATAGCGTATGTGTTTCTCGGAGAATAAAAACATCTGTGTGTTATTAATGTGGCAGTGCAATCGCTCACACGTCAGATCGTCTTGTTCAGATTATCAGGGTATTTTTAGGATTATCATTTGCATCATAAAGCACAGCTTTGGTCTGAAGGATGATCAGCAGCACCGATGATATAGTCATAAATCTGAAGTCCATATCTGAGACTCTTTTCACTCTTTGCATGGTCTTTTCCTCTTAATAAATATCCCGGACGAGCCCCCAATTTGTTAGATTGAGGCTTCAGATACTTGAAAATTAACACAACATTAACAAATTCATATTTAGGAATGGCCAAACAAGGCTTTTCTTGGGGTTTCCTCACATATTTGAGTTTTTCTTCTTTCTAAATATTCCTGGCTTACAGCTTTTTACAGTCGCTAGGACACATTTCTCAAAACTTTGGTCACTTTTTCAAAACTCTTCACATTGAGCACAACAGACGTATATGTGGGCTAAACTGAGGCTAATTTACACATGCTTTACACACTGTTTTCAAAACTTAAGCTCAAAATAAGACAGCATTTTGCCACATTTCTACAGTAATATTGTAATGAAATATATTTCGAATCTAAAAAATAAATGGTATAAAAACAATTGGCCGACTGGACCAAGCACAGCTGATTCCTGTTGAGTCAGTGGATGGTGTGTATACATGTTTGTACAGTGGAATTACTGCCAAAACATAAAATATATAAAGTATTGAAGCATAATGCATCATGTCTTTTATTTTAGTAACGTATGTTGCAGTGAATTCTAAACAGTAGAGGGGTGTCCTTGTTTTACAGACCAAAACATTGTATAAAGTTTCCTGTTGTCATTGTTTTGTGGGTGTAAAAGTGTGTGTTGGCTGTCAACCTTTGCTGAAGATTGTGTTGATCTGAGACATGAACAAAGTGATTTAGTGGTTTTAGTGCATGTTGAATGTTGAATGTTGTTTTGCGTATGTTTGGCGAATGTTTGGCGTGTGTTTATCGTGTGTTTGTTGTTTGTTTGGCATGTGGTTAGTGAGTGTTTGGCGTGTGTGTTTGGCGTGTGTTTGGTGTTTGGTGAGTGTTTCTCGTGTTTGGCGTGTGGTTAGCGAGTGTTTGGCGAGTGTTTGGCGAATGTTTGGCGTGTGGTTAGCGAGTGTTTGGCGCGTGTTTTGCGAATGTTTGGCGTGTGGTTAGCGAGTGTTTGCTGTGTTTTGGCGAGTGTTTCTCGTGTTTGCGTGTGGTTAGCGAGTGTTGGCGCGTGTTTGGCGAGTGTTTGGCGCGTGTTTGGCGAATGTTTGGCGTGTGGTTAGCGAGTGTTTGCTGTGTGTTTGGCGAGTGTTCTCGTGTTTGGCGTGTTTAGCGAGTGTTTGCTGTGTGTTTGGCGAGTGTTTCTCGTGTTGGCGTGTGGTTAGCGAGTGTTTGGCGCTGTTTGGCGAATGTTTGGCGTGTGGTTAGCGAGTGTTTGCTGTGTGTTTGGCGAGTGTTTCTCGTGTTTGGCGTGTGGTTAGCGAGTGTTTGGCGCGTGTTTGGCAGTGTTTGGCGCGTGTTTGGCGAATGTTGGCGTGTGGTTAGCGAGTGTTTGCTGTGTGTTTGGCGAGTGTTTCTCGTGTTTGGCGTGTGTTAGCGGTGTTTGCTGTGTGTTTGGCGAATGTTTGCCGTGTGTTAGCGAGTGTTTGCTGTGTGTTTGGCGAGTGTTTCTCGTGTTTGGCGTGTGGTTAGCGAGTGTTTGGGCGTGTTTGGCGAGTGTTTGGCGAATGTTTGCCGTGTGGTTAGCGAGTGTTTGCTGTGTGTTTTGCGAGTGTTTCTCGTGTTGGTCGGGTGTGGTTAGCGAGTGTTTGCTGTGTGTTTGGCGAGTGTTTCTCGTGTTTGGCGTGTGGTTAGCGAGTGTTTGCTGTGTGTTTGGCGAGTGTTTCTCGTGTTGGCGTGTGGTTTAGCGAGTGTTTGCTGTGTGTTTGGCGAGTGTTTCTCGTGTTTGGCGTGTGGTTAGCGAGTGTTTGGCGCGTGTTTGGCGGTGTTTGGCGCGTGTTTTGGCGAATGTTTGCCGTGTGGTTAGCGAGTGTTTGCTGTGTGTTTGGCGAGTGTTTCTCGTGTTTGGCGTGTGGTTAGCGAGTGTTTGGCGCGTGTTTGGCGAGTGTTTGGCGCGTGTTGGCGAATGTTTGCCGTGTGGTTAGCGAGTGTTTGCTGTGTGTTTGGCGAGTGTTTCTCGTGTTTGGCTTGTGGTTAGCGAGTGTTTGCTGTGTGTTTGGCGAGTGTTTCTCGTGTTTGGCGTGTGGTTAGCGAGTGTTTGCTGTGTGTTTGCGGAGTGTTTCTCGTGTTTGGCGTGTGGTTAGCGAGTGTTTGGCGCGTGTTGGCGAGTGTTTGGCGCGTGTTTGGCGAATGTTTGCCGTTGTGGTTAGCGAGTTTGCTGTGCTGGTGTTTGGCGAGTGTTTCTCGTGTTTGCCGTGTGGTTAGCGAGTGTTTGCTGTGTGTTTGGCGAGTGTTTCTCGTGTTTGGCGTGTTGGTAGCGAGGTTTGCGAATGTTTGGCGTGTGGTAGCGACTGTTTGGTGCTTGCCGTGTGTTTGGCGAGTGTTTCTCGTGTTTGGCGTGTTTGTCGTGTGGTTAGCGAGTGTTTGGCGCGTGTTGGCGTGTGTTTGGGTGTTTGCCGTGTGTTTGGCGAGTGTTTCTCGTGTTTGGCGCGTGTGCTTAGCGAGTGTTTGGCGCGTGTTTGGGCGAATGTTTGGCGAGTGGTTAGCGAGTTGTTTGGCGCGTTTTTGCGAATGTTGGCGAGTGGTTAGCGAGTGTTTGCTGTGTGTTTGGCGAATGTTTGGCGAGTGTTTCTCGTGTTTGCCGTGTGTTTGGCGAATGTTTGGCGAGTGGTTAGCGAGTGTTTGGCGCGTTTTTGGCGAATGTTTGGCGAGTGGTTAGCGAGTGTTTGCCGTGTGTTTGGCGAGTGTTTGGCGAGTGGTTAGCGAGTGTTTGGCGTGTGTTTGGTGTTTGCCGTGTGTTTGGCGAGTGTTTCTCGTGTTTGGCGTGTGCTTAGCGATGTGTTTGGTGTTTGGCGAGTGTTTAGCGTGTGATTAGCGAGTGTTTGGCGTGTTTTTTGTGTTTGGCAAGTGTTTCTCGTGTGGTTAGTGAGTGTTTGCCGTGTGTTCGGCATGTGTTTGGTGTTTGCCGTGTGTTTGGCGAGTGTTTTACGTGTTTGGCGTGTGGTTAGCAAGTGTTTGGCGAATGTTTGGTGTGTGTGTTTGTCGAGTTTTTACAGTGTGTTTGCCATGTGTTTAGTGTGTGGTTGGCGAGTGTTTGGCATGTGTTTTGCCGTGTGTTTGGCGAGTGGTTGGCAAGTGTATGGCAGTGTGTGTTTGGCGTGTGTATGGCAGTGTGTGTTTGACGAGTGTATGGCAGTGTGTGTTTGGCGTGTGTATGGCAGTGTGTGTTTGACGAGTGTATGGCAGTGTGTGTTTGGCGTGTCTCAGGAAGAGCTGTCGTGGATCAGAGGTAATTCGGCTCTGTGTTTGAGCTCCTCTCACACGGATAGTGTAGTACAGCATCTTTCTCCCGGACTGTGCTCATAAAACATAATTTATTTACAACATTACATCTATAACTAACCGCTATCACAATATAAATAGGTTATATTCCTAAAACTACTTTATTATTAAAAAAAATCAACAGACCTGAGTATGTTCAGTTATATGCTTTATAATTGTGCATCTGTCTCAAAGCTAAATATCCCCATGCTCAAAAGTGCCTTATTTGATAGTGTGTGTATATGTGTTTTTGTGCATGTGTGTGTGCGCGTATGTGTGTGTTTGTATGTGTATTTGTATGTATATGTGTGTGTGTTTGTGCATGTGTGCATAAGATTGTCACAGTGGATCAGAAACGCATCAGACGTGATTGTCGGGGTTTTCCACCTTGATCTGCAGGACGTCACTCAGACCCGGCCGCTTTCTCAGCGCCTGATCAAGTAAAGCACATTTAATTACAATCAGATACACACAACAAACACTTCGATTTCAGAACGTTTATTTTTAAAAGTGTGAGTGTGTGCAGTGTTTGATATTTCCATCAAATGTGTGTGTTTATTTTAGCCGTATTAGATATTTCGTAGGACAGTATTTCCGGCAGTGACTTCACCTGTAGGTTGTTGACTATCTCCTCAAATAATCTCTTGGCTTCTTCGTTTTCAGCATCCTCGAAGTAATCAGCGATACACAACTGAACTATAACACACTTGAGATTGACACACACACCTCAAACACACACACAGACAGAGAGCAGCTGCGTCAGACGTGTCTCACAACAAGGATTTCTGTATGTCAACCAACACACAAAATAGAAGAGACCAATCACAATTCGGTATGCAAATAATTGTGAGAAAGATGACCAACTGGATTTCAAATGCAAATATTACAACAATATTTGAGCAAGTCTGTGAATAACGTCTCGCAGCCCTCGTTCCCTGAGGAGGGAACGGAGACGTGATTATGGCGAATGGGGATCGCTTGCGAGGGCGAAAAAAATATGTTTTTATTTTAAATGTATTTATTTCAATTTTACATTTTTATGTAAATTTATTTCTGGGGCTTGTGGATTGACGAAAAGCAAACAAATGATCATTAGTCATAAAATGTACAATTAAAATAAATAAAATAAAATAATAAAAATAAAATACTCACTAATAAATCATTCACTAATAAATAAAAATGCGAACATTTGTTGTTTTTAAATAAAAACAATTAAAAAAAACCCCACTAAATCATAAAATATTAAATTCCATTAAAAAAGTCATTATGTAAAATCGAAATATATAAAAAAAAAATTGTTACATTATTTACAAATTAAATTAAATTAAATTATTTTTTTTAGGTTTAAGCCCCAGTTAAGATTAAAAAAAAAGTGAGGGAGTGCTCACCTGTGAAGTGCAGTATGGCTTTGGCGGTGACCGGCGTGGAGAGGAAGGAGAGTGTGTGAAGCTGCTGGAGGCCGTCTCTGCAGATCTCCTCCGCTCCCTCCTGGTTCAGCTCGTTCATGTGATCCAGCTCCAGCACACACACATTCACACAGTTCCTCACTGCGTGGACACAAACACACACTCGTTGTGTAACTCACTTGAGTTACGTGATCAGTTACGCGAATGTAGTGAACTAAACATTTATTTTCTTTTAAACTAAATATATATTTTGATTCTAAGATTGCTATAAAAACAAAGCCATATGTCCAAACAAATCATTTCCCAAATTTGAAATTGATTTCACAAAAAAAAAAATTTGTTTTTGTGCTCTCTTGTCACAAATTAATACATTTCTGTCACAATATCACTTCTATCACAAAACAGCAGCCACTTATGAAACCTTGAGACCAATATACGTTTGTCAAGATTTGAAAATAGTAATGCTGTAGTGTATATTATAGATGATTACACAACATTGTAATGGTACAAAGGCAATACAAAAGCTGACAGGTTAATGTGAATAAAACATGCCTGTCACTCACCCAAAGAGGCCAATCCCTGGATGCCACAGCTAGCCCCGCCCACTCCCACCCGACACAGGTTCGGCCAGCATCGTCCAATCGTCTGCAAGCATCGGTTGCTAAAGCGATTGGGCTGCAGACTGAAGAAATCAGAGGCGGGAACTCACTGATCATGTGACTTGGCAAGGCAATTCAAAGTGCTTTACACAGAAAGGAATTAAAATAAAAGCAAGGAAAATTAAAAGAGTTTTAAAAGGAATTAAAAGAGATATGACAGATAATGATCCATGAATAAATTTCTACTTCATCTGGCAATATCATATTTTTCTCAATTCCCAGTTTAATTGTGAGATTTAAAATTAAAATTCCCAGTTTAATTGTGAGATTTTCCCATTATGAAAAATAATATTATATGTTATGTGGAGGCCGACCCTTCTTCATCCAATTATTAGCCTAATTTTGTTTTGCATTAGTTCACAGAATTATAAAAATATTTTGCCACCGGCTAAAAGTTAAAGATATTTTGTGTCACATCACATGTCGATTTCCCTCATAATAAATACAAAACGTGTATAAATGTGTAGAGTGATATTTTTCTAATGTCTTGACTCCTTTATTAAGGGGGTATGGATATATATATATATATATATTAGGGCTGTGCAAAAGTTAATTGCGATTAATCGCATCCAAAATAAAAGTCTGTTTTACATAATATATTTGTGTGTGCTGTATATAGTTATTTTGTATATATAAATACCTATGCATGCATGTATATATTTAAGAATTATTTGCGCTTAAATTCTGTATATATATATAAATACATAATCTATATTATACAAATATAAATATTTTATATAGGAATAACACATTTTCTTAAACATATACATGCATGTGTGTGTATTTATATATACAAAATAATTATATACAGCACACACAAATATACTATGTAAACAGAGACTTTTATTTTGGATGCGATTAATCGCAATTAACTTTTGCACAGCCCTAATATATATATATCAGTATAAACGGATGTTTCTAGGGCTCTGAAATGATTAATCGCGATTAATCGCATCCAAAAAAAAAAGTTTGTGTTTATATAATATATGAGTGTGTGGTGTGTATAATTATTTGTATATATAAAAACACACACATGCATGTATGTATTTAAGAAATATTTGCATGTATATATTTATACAAAATTAATATTATACATAAATATAAATATTTGATATATTAATAACACATTTTTCTTAAATATATACATTATATATATAAAATAATTATACACACTAAACACACATATATTATGTGAACAACAACTTTTATTTTGGATGCGATTAATCGCGATTAATCGTTTCACAGCCCTAGACGTTTCAGTATTAAATGCATTTTATGAGAACTTATATTTCAAGTTTTCACGTCCATAACGCTGGAATTGCCCAATTTTAAAGAATTTATCCTCAACTAGTTTTTTGGTGTAGGTCACCAGAAAACAGTGATTATTACACCGTGTCTCTGTCTATGGACGTCTCCGATAGACCCGATTTTCCCCTAAAACCGGACCGGAGGGGCTCAAAGATGTGCTGGGAAGCTCTAGGAATGGATATAATCGGATGTAAGCGATGCTCAGATGAAGAGAGATGCTCACCACGGCTGCAGAGGAGCGATCCGAAGTGTTGTGACATCCCGGCATCCCGCTCCCAGAGCCCAGATCACCTCCTGTCCCGCCGGATCCAGCGCGCTTCTGCAAACAGTCGTAGTAGTCGTAGTATATGAGTGTTTAGTGCCACCGAGTCAGGCACTTAAAGGGATAGTTCACCACCCAAACATAACGGCTCTCCCTCATGTTGTTCAACCCCGTAAGACTTTCGTTCATCTTCAGGACACAAATTAAGATATTTCTGATTAAATCTGAGAGCTGGATCACTCCTACATAGGCTTCTATTGTAATCGAAACTTGCCGGCCCAGAAAGTTATTAAAGACATCGTTAAAATTGTGTACGTCACACGCAGACTCACTGTAGGAGCCATTTTGAGTTTAGGTTCATCTAAATTGCTGTGCTGGTACGTTTTGTTAGATTTAGGATCCTTTATTTTGTAGGGACTTTTAGTTTGACAGTCGGTGAGAATGTTTGAATATAAAGATGGCCGCCTCTCACCTTTCAAGAAAAGAAAAAGAACAACTAAGCTGTTGGAACGTATTAAGCATTCAGTTCTTTACATCGCCATTGTAAAGTGTTCTCGTCGCTTGATAAACTTAAGGTTGAGCCGCCGTCGTCACTCGGACTATTTTAACGACGTCTTTAATAACTTTCTGGGCCGGCAAGTTTCAATTCCAATAGAAGCCTATGGAGGAGTGATCCAGCTCTCAGATTTAATCACAGATATCTTCATTTGTGTCCCGAAGATGAACGAGAGTCTTACTGACAGATTTACATGTTTGAGTGAACGATCCCTTTAATCTTGCGCATCATCATCATTCGTCATGTCACCTGTATGTGAGAGACTGCAGCGCTCGACAGTGACAGCTCACGAGCCACAGCGATCTGTCCGTCAGGATGTTGGAGCAATGAGAGATGCTCAGAGAAACAAGACTCCGCCCAGCCGACTTAAGCACCGCCTCCAGCCCCGCCTCCAGCCCGCCCCTCCACACAGAGAGATACAGCACAGACATCTCATTAGATTATATTTTTTTAAAAGCACCGTCCAGTCAACAGAAAAATAATGCAACAGTGTGTTTCCAGAAGAGAATAGGGTAAGTTAAGTAAATTCAGTGATGTTTCATTTTTGTTGTAAAAAAAGTTATTAATTTAGTTAATTTACAAAAATTGTGATGTCATCGTCCAGCTCAGTTCAGTTCTTATATAATGGTGTCAATGCATGCAGATCAATATTAGTGTTAAATATTAAATTAAATGGTTAATTGAATGTCCCCAAGCAAGCAAATTGTTAATTGTTAAGGATATACAGTTACAGTATATAAACTTGGTTAAAGATTGAGAGATTGAAAATCCCAGCATGTTAGTGTGTGTGTGTTTTACCTCGTGCTCCGTAAGTACTCGTCTTTGCTTTCTTTCTTGCCACGAGATCGAGGTTTGAGGTTGTGAAGAACAAGAGACTGAGTCTGACAGCACCACTGAGACAGAGTCATCAAGAACTACACACACACACACACACACACACTGGTTAGTATGACTTTACCCTGGGAAGCCTTTGCTCTCTGCTGACCTCTAAAGCAGTGGCTGGTATGTGCTAGCTGTAGTTAGCTGTAGTTAGCTGTTGGTTAGCTGTAGTTAGCTGTAGTTAGCTGTTGGTTAGCTGTAGTTAGCTGTTGGTTAGCTGTTGGTTAGCTGTAGTTAGCTGTA